ACTCGTTCACGGGAGTTTACGGTAGTTTCGTGTTGCGCTTGAGTGCAGGAGGCATGGAGGCGATACTGAGCTGCAGAAAGGAGGATCTGGAGGATTATGCGATGAACACAACTTACTACAAACCATAACAGTGCTTTTAGAGCGTGCGTTTGAAAATGTGCATTTCACCTTTTGTAAACAATCAATGTAAAAATATTTGATAGACTAATTGCATGGACGTGTATGTGACAGAATAAGACGTTTTACACATCTAATCATTATGACAGCAGAACAGCCTGGTGCTTTAATGTGAGGGACTGACAACATCATGCTGGTGGTAATAATAACTGACTAAACAGACAGAGTCAGCACATGCTAATCTTGACACAAATGTATATGCATGCTCCATAGACTGAACAGATCGTCAATGAGTTTAAAGTGAGAGCTCTGGCCTGCCATCCCGACAAACACCCAGAGAACCCCAAAGCAGGTAGAGAGAATAATTCATATTTTTGTGCAAAGATGCAATCTGTTTCTTTTGGTTTTGCATTAAGAGAGAAGCTGAGACACGTTGCACCAATACCGAGGTACTTTGAAATGCACCATAGTTCTGAATGATTACTATATTAATGTACTTTATTAATGAGTTGCAATGCATTTTGTCCAAAAACTTTCCCAGTTGTCGATTGATTTGGGTTTTCCAATAGGCTATGACCGATATAATGCCAGATCTTAGACAGTTCTTGAGTTTAAAAAAGAATTTACAAGAAGAAGTTAGTCTTATAAAATCATGAATTAAATAAAAATAAAATTATGTAATTCGTTTTACAAGAAAAAAGTCATTTAAATACTTTAAAAGTATGTTTATTTTAAATAATAATTTTGAAAAATGTATTTAGTAATGCCTATAAAATCATGAAAGAAATAAATAAAATGAAAGGGATACAAATGTGATTTACAATTAATTAAAAATACTTTAAATATACATTTCAATAAATAAATAAATACAAATTAAATATTTAAAAATTCATTTTTAGTGGATTGTGTTCACACAATTTTTAATGAATGACTAAAATACTTTTTGGAGATTTTTTAACCAATTTAAATGTTGATCATTTAAGTTTTTATTAAATAATTGTAAATTTATTCATTTAAATATTTGTTTATGTATATTTTTGGTTTGCACTAACCTAAACTAACATTATGAAAAGATTACAAAGTCCTTTTTGTAAGTCCTACTGATGAAACATTAATGAAGGAGGTAAATAGATGTCCCCATGAGTCTGTGTGTAATACACGTTTAAGTCCCCACCAGAATAGAAAAACAGGTACTCACACACACACACTCACACACTCACACACTCACACACTCACACACACACACACTCACACACTCACACACTCTCACTCACACACTCACACACTCACACACTCACACACACACACACTCACACACTCACACACTCTCACTCACACACTCACACACTCACACACTCACACACACACACACTCACACACTCACACACTCTCACTCACACACTCACACACTCACACACTCACACACACACACACTCACACACTCACACACTCTCACTCACACACTCACACACTCACACACTCACACACACACACACTCACACACTCACACACTCTCACTCACACACTCACACACTCACACACTCACACACACACACACTCACACACTCACACACTCTCACTCACACACTCACACACTCACACACTCACACACACACACACTCACACACTCACACACTCTCACTCACACACTCACACACTCACACACTCACACACACACACACTCACACACTCACACACTCTCACTCACACACTCACACACTCACACACTCACACACACACACACTCACACACTCACACACACACACACTCACACACACACTCACTCACACACACACACACACACACACACACACACACAATCACTCACTCACTCAATCACTCACACTCACACACACACACGCACACTCGCACTCACTCACTCGCACGCACGCACTCGCACTCACTCACTCACACACACGCTCACACACACGCTCACACACACGCTCACAC